GGGCCCTGGCCCCTGTGCGTGTCCTCCAGCCCTCGGTGTGCTCAGTCCTGTAGGTTGGCGCCGTCCTGGGGGGCTGTCGGTGTCCGGGGGGTGTGTTCGCCTCGCCCTCGTCCAGACCTCGTTGGGCAACTTCTCACCTGCCCGCCGGCCATCCCTGGGGCTTCTCTCAAATGCTGGGGACACTCCCTCAGTGCCCGTTGTCCTGCCGTCGGGGCAGAGAAGCCCTCACCCCCTGACTGCTCGGCCGTCCTTGGACCTGTGGTTCTCAGTGTGCCTGCGTCTGCGGCCTCGGGACGCCCCCTGCCTGTGCGGTGGGCTCAGGCCTGTCATTGCACACAGCCCCAGGTCACGGTGCACCTGCTGCTTATTGCTGTCTAGGATCCATCTGGGGAACCCAGCTTCCCCCAAACCAGAGGAGGTTCTCTGTGGCTCTCCTAGAATCTTGATGTTTTCTGTCTGGGTCCATGATCCATTGGAAATGAAGCTCTGTCTGTTCTTCCCCAGGGGTGGCCGTTCAGCCCAGAGCCTGGATGTGGTCTCCACGCCTTTGTCTGATCAATAGGCCACACCCGTCCTGGTCTGTTTGCTTTCTGTGTATATTTATTTATTGATGTTAGAGTTGATCCTCACCACAAGATGTTGTATTCATGGAGTCTTCACACACCCGACCACCTGAGCACAGGCTATCGGCCTGAGCTCTTTGTCATGGAGTGACAGGCCCTCCACGTGGTGGACTGGCCCCGAGTGGACAGGTCTCTCCTCTGTCAGACTCATCTCTGCTCCTTTGTCTGCCTCAGGCTGTGTCGTATGTCACAGGTCACCCCGACACCCGGATCTGCGTCTCAGGGCTGGGTCCCTGCGCTGGGGCAGGAGACACGAAGAAATACACTAGTGCACTGTGCAGGGCCGATGGGAGCACCTGGAGGGGGAGGAGGGCGGCTCCAGGAGAGGCTACTGAGAAATCCCCGCTCCTCCCCAAAGGCTGACCTCTCTTCAGACCAGGACGGCAGGAGGAAGCTGAGAGACAAGCCCCAGGAAAGCCCCCATCAGTAGGGACAGCAAGTGCAAAGGCCCTGGGGCAGGGGAGACCTGGGTCTTTGGGGTCACTGTGCACAAGCAGAAGGACCAGGAGAGTGGTGGGCAGGTCGTAGGACTCTGGTCATCCTGAGGTCACTGGCTGTTACCCCAGTGATCTGGAGGAACTCACACTGGTCAGGAAAATGAGAAGGTGTCCAGAGAGTTCAGCAGGGCAGTGGCTGGGACAGGAGAGTTCCTTCGTCATAAATTCAAGTGTTTGTTTAGAAATAAAGGAAGACTCCTCTTCCCGGACCTGAGCTGTGTTCTGAGTACTTGGCAATTATGGTGCGAAGAATACAAGTCTCTGCAGAGATTGCTTCTCCGGAGCAGCACTCAGGGGCTCCGAGAGCCTCCCCCTAGTGGACCACGTGGTTGAGAGAGTGGGAGGCGGGAGGGCGTCACCGGGCTCACAGACCTGACCCTGGTCTGCAGGCCGCCTCAGTCCACACTTCGCAGGAGCCCTGGACAAACGCGGGGCGGCACCTCAGGCCTCCGCTGCTCCCAGGACCTCCCGCGGCCCCCAGACCTGAGGGTGCCCAGCTTTCTGGGACACAGGTGAGGAGAGATGCCTGTTTCCCTTCCCTGACCTGGCCCCGCTGCGTCCTTCTGGGAGGCTCTGAGCACCTCGCTCCCCACGGGCCAGGCTCTGCCTGAGAGGGGACTTCCCACTGCTCTGGCCTCTGGGCGCCCAGGGTCAGGCTGGCTGGTTGCTGGTCGCCCTGGAGAGTGGGCAGGGGGGCAGGAGACGGAGGCAGGGACCCCGAGACCCTCTGAGGGGCCAGGGTCTGATCGGGGAGCCCAACCTCCTAGCACTTTCTCTGTCACCTGGTGTCAAACCTCCTGAGAGGAGCCAGGCTGACTTCCCAGTGGGCCTGGGGAGGCTGCGGGAGCGTGTGGCTTCCGGGGGGCAGCTGCACCCCAAGAAAAAGCAGAATTCTGGGGACAGAGGGAATGACGCCATCTCTGGGGTCACACCTTACACCCGGCACATTCATGTCGGGGGGGAGGAAGAGCCAGCTGGGACTGCTGGTCCCGAGCTCAGGCCTGGCGGTGGCCGGGCTCCGTGTCCACACTAGACCTGCACCTGATCAGACCGCGTCACCCCGAGGGGACGTCACCCCGAGAAAGGGGTCTGGAGCGCGGTGGGCGCGTCCTAGCTTGGACCCTCCCAGGAGACGCTGCCTTCTCAGAGCCGGACTCTCCGGGCGGGGCGCAGCCAGCCCCCCTGGGCTCGTGGGTCTGGTGTGTGCAAAGGGCCTCACCCCTCAGTGAGTCCCCCGTCTGCCTCATCCCTGACCTCAGACCAGCAGCAGGACGGACAGACAGCCCGGGGGGACTCTCTCGGAGACACGGGTGGGGTGACTGCGGCAGCTGAGTTACCCCCTGAGGGGGGAGGGCTCTGCGAAGGGGGTTTCCAACATCTCCTGTCCTCCAGCTTGATGGGGTTACAATTGTCACTATAGAGTGTGCGTCCTGACGGCGTGTGCCGTGAATCTGTCACGTGAACACTGCGGCATCGTCACATCATCAAGCTCAGCACAGCCGTCACCTCGCACAGGCTCCTCCTTCCTCCTTTCCTCGGGGTGAGCACCGTGGAGCCCCAGCCCTCGGCCACTTCAGAAGGTGACGCAAGTCTCAGTCTAGTCCTGCTGGACAGACACCCCATCACGACCCCTCTCCCACCAGAGTCTGTGCCCTGTGACCTGCGCGTCCACGTCCCTCGGCCCCGGGACCTCGCTCCACCCCCTGCTTCCAGGAGTTCAGCTCTCTCAGGTCTCACGTCCACGGAGATCCTGCGCGTGTCCTCGTGTCTGGTCCCACTGAACACGACGCCACCTCAGTTCACCGAGTTTTCAGAAATGGAAGGACTTCCTTCCTTTTGTCCAGATCACTTTCCATCAAACACAGACATACACACATGAACATACACACATGAACATACACACATGAACAGACATGCACACACACACATACACACGTGCACACACACACACACTGACAATGATCTTTGTTCACCTGTTGATGGACACTGAAGTTGTCTCCATGTCTGAGCTGCTGGAAATTTCGGGGTGCAGATATTTCCTCACGGTGGGATCCTGTTTCCTTGGGGGACCCCCAGCAGTGGGGTCGCTGAGGCTCTGGGGTCCCGGGCAGTGTCCTGAGTGACCTGCACACTCCTCTCTGTCGTGGCTGCACCACCTTCGCTCCCGCAGCCGTGCGCGGGGTCCTGTCCCTGGAGGGACGTTCCAGAGGAGGGTGGCGTTCACATCCGTGGCTTTGAGGGAAGCAGATCGCAGACCACCCTCCCTGACCGGACGGTCAGTGGGGCTCATCCAGGCAGAGACCTTAGTAGAAGATCCAGACCTCCCGACGCAGGAGGACGTGTGCGTCCATTTCCCTTCCTCTGCTGTGTTAGACCTGGGGCGCGACAGTCATTTGTTCCGCAGGGAATCATGCGTAGGACATACAATAAACCAGACAATAGTGGGACACTGTTCCATAGCTACTACGTATGTTTGCTCCCCATGCCCCTGCCCTCCCGAGGTGACTGACTCATGCCACCTTCTGTCCCCACCGACCTCACTCACCACACTCCCTGCGACCAGAGTCTCCGTGGCCGATGGAATGAACCGATTGCATCAGAAGAGCCGGGAGCCCCGTCCACAGCCCTGCAGAGACGTCACAGGCCTGGGCTCACACGTGCTCCGTGTCCCCTTCCAGTTGCATGACTGTCCGCGATAAGCCGGGGACACTGTGTGGAGACTGTGGCCCGGGACACGGACAGAGCCGATCCCTGCAGCTCTGCGGAGGGGAGGGGACAGCACCCCGCCCACTCGAGACAGCAGCGGTGGAGGGTGGTGAGTGGTCAGCTCCCTCCCCTGCACCTGCTACGTGTTTGCAGCCGTGGTGGGCCCTGGTCTAACCACGTGCGTCGTCCTGGCATTTCCTAAAGCCAAGGGCCCCTGGGAGAGAAACAGAGGGGGCGGCGCGACTGGAGGGCCCCGCGGTGCCCTCGCAGGGTCACTGATGAGCCTGGGGCTCCTGTGGGTCCAGGGGTCACCTTGGTGGTGGAGCCCAGCCCCCGGGGACGGGAGGCCGCGGACAGAGCCCAGCTCACAGGCCCTGCGGGAGGGGCTCTGTCCTGCTGGGGCCGCAAGGAAGAGACGCGCTCGGGAAACAGCTGTCTCTTTGCGCACAGACAGGACACGGGAGCAGCACCCACACATGTGGGTCCACAGAGCACTGGGTGCGGCAGTGTTTCCTGGGCCCCAAAGGCTAAGCGATGTTGCGGGGTGACTTGGGGAGCAGGGACCTGGGGAGACGGCTCCCAAGGAAGAGTCAGGCCAGGTTCGCCCACCTCGCCTACGGGAGATGCTTCCATGTGTCTTCCTCCCGCCGCGGGGAGAGAGGGAGAGAGACGGGAGGGGCGAGGGGTGAACAGGTGAGGACAGAGCACAGGGATTAGACGGTGATGTTGGGAAAGAACTCTGCTGAGTTGAGGGAACAAACATTCCATGTGACCCATCACCTCTGCCCCCAGGTTTCTCTAGAGGGACGTGAGCTCTGAACTAGGAACAACCCCCAAGGGCGGCACCTGGCTGACAGTCCCTTTGGGAGTGGCCACCAGACACACGGACAGGAGGGATCGGAGCGCCCGGAGCCAGGAGCCTGGGGAGCCGTGGGGTGTCTCTGGAGGAGGCACCTGCGCACACGCGTGTCCCCCTGTCTCCCCAGGAAACGTCCCTGCAGTCCATCGCCCCGCGTGTCTGAGCCCAGCCGTCCCGCCAGCTCCGGAGGCCCTGTGCTCGCGTCCTGGGGGTCTCAGCGGGGGTCTGCGGAGTGACAGACCACCCCGATCAGAGGTCCCGGCCCCGTGCCCATCGCCATCCTCCCAGGGGTGCCCCCGCGGCAGCACCCGGCAGATGGCTCAGGAGGCCAGCAGTGACGCCAGGGGCTTCTCTCCCAGACCAGGGCCCTGGCAGTCACACCTAAGTAACGGGTCTGTGTCCCCTGCAGAGGCCAACGCCACTGGGAACATCACACAGACCCCATTAGGAGATGACAAGTCCTCTTTCAATTACGTGATCATTGTTGTCGCTGTGGTTCTGTTGATTGATCTCTTTGGGTTGGTGGGGAACGGGACGGTCATCTGGCTGCTGGGTTTCCGGGTGAAGAGGAACCTCTTCTCGGTCTACATCCTCAATCTGGCCATCGCGGACTTCCTCTTCCTCTTATGCACGGTAGTCATGGCCATCTGTTATATTAACGGGTCTCACTATTTTCCTCATATCATCGTGTCTTTCCTGTTCATGTCCTACCTGGCGGGGCTGACTCTGCTCATGGCCATCAGCACGGAGCGCTGCATCTCCGCGCTCTTCCCGATCTGGTACCGATGCCACCGCCCCGCCCACCTCTCGGCCATCGTGTGCGCTGTGCTTTGGGGACTGTCCCTCTGTCTGGGAGTAGTGCACTTTGTGTGCATCTATTATCATCTTGGACTGTATGACATAGTAATTCTCATCTACAATGTGACGGCCTTCCTGACCCTGCTGGTGCTGTGTGTGTCCAGCCTGACCCTGCTCCTCCGCGTCCACTGCGGCTCCTGGCGGAGACAGACCACGAAGCTCTACAGGGTCATCCTGCTCACCGTGCTGGCCTTCCTGGTGCTCGGGCTGCCCCTCAATGTCGGCTTGTTCATCTACCTCTTCTTTCCCTCACTGTTCAATTTCCTCCGCTATGAGCCCATCTTCTACGTCCCTTCCGTCCTGAACAGCGCGGTCAACCCCGTCATCTACTTCTTTGTGGGGAGGCCGAGGCATCAGCAGGGCCCGATGTCTCTCCGGGACGTGCTCCAGAGCGCGCTGACGGAGGACGCGTAGCTGAGCAGGTGAGGCCCCCGTCCGCTGTCAACCTTGCTGTCCACCTGGGCACGGGGAGGGGCAGCTGGGCTGGACCCCGGATCTAACCCTGAACAGACCACCTGTCCGGGATCCATACTTTCTTTTCTTTCCATCTTTATTGTTGAGGATATTGCAGACTTCTCTCTTCTTTATCCACATTGCCCTCAGCCTGGTTGAGCCCCGCCCAGGCCCTCAGCACCCTGTTGTCTGGGTCCACGGGCCAGGCCTGTGCGCACACGCCCTGTGGTCAGTCTCCCCCACCCCACTTCCCTCTGAGATCGTCAGTCTGGCCCATGTTCCCATGACTCTCATTCTGTTTCATTCATCAGTTTATCGTGTTCGTGAGGTTCCACGTGTACGTGAGACCATGTGATACTTGTCTCTCTCTGACCGGCTTCTTTTGTTGACGTAACATGGCCCAGGTCCCTCCGTGCTGTCGCAAAGGGTGGGAGAGCCTTTTTCCCTGCTGCATAGTATTCCACTGTGTAACGACCGTCGTAACTGCCCACCAAGGGCCTGAGTGCGTTAGGAGAAGTGAACATGTGTGTGGTGTCCACACTGTACCCTGAGGTCACATGCGGGCCCCTGCGAGCTCATGTCCTGCCCCTCGTATGTTCCGACGAGGTCCCTCCCCCTCGCTGTGTTTCTCCAGCGTCCCCAGCCCTCGGCTGCAGGGCCAGGTGGGCACCAGGCAGGAAGGCCTCTGCCCTGACACCCCAGAGCCCAGTGTGTGTCTCTGCTCTGCCTCCTAACACTCAGCGCAGCCATTTCCTTCCCCTGAGCATCACGGGGAGCCCGGGCCCCTGATGTCACTGTCCCCTCTGTGTGTGTCTCAGGTGACATTCCTGCTCCTGCTGCAACAATGGCTCTCACTCTCCATATATACGGGAGCGAAGATTCCAGTGACCCGTCCAACAGGAAAGTTATGTCTCTCTCCGTGGGATGTGTGTGCATGTGCATTATTGTGTGCATGTTTGTCCATGTGCATGCCTGTAGGTATGTGTGTGTGCATGTGTGCTCTCACGTGTGCATGCAGAAAGATATGTGCTGTGCATGTAGATAAGTGCACAAGCACTCTTGTCAATATATGTACATGCATGCAGGCAAGTGCAGTGTGCCCATGCATGTTAGTGCAAGAATATATGTAAGTGAAGATGTATGCATGTACATACTTGTGTGTGTGTGCATCTGTGCATGTGTGTATGCATGTGATTGTGCATGAATATACACATGTGTGCTCACATGCAGCTGAGGTTGTGCATGGTCCCCCCGTTGCCCTCGGTGCAGAGGTGATGTGATTCGTGGGCTGAAGTCAGGAGCCCGCATCCCATTCACACCCCAGGACACCTCTGGATAGGGGAGTGGTCCTCAGCCTCTCCCAGAATCCCACGAACCCCGAAGTCCACACCCACAGAGTGATGCTAAGAAGATGGCCACCTGGAGGGCGGCTCTGAGTTCAAGGGCATCGATGTCCTCAAACCACAGGAAGCACTGTGAGGGGCGTGGCACCGTTACCCGTGGGATGGAATTCTGTCCCCTCATCACAGTTGACACGTCCGTGTGTGGCGGCTGCAGGGGAGACTTTGGGGTCCCTGAGACAGGGCCCAACAGCAGATCCGTGTCCAGTGCACGAGGAGCAGACAGACGAGGAGCACACACGCTCTCAACAACACACACACGCTCTCTACTACAGTCGTTCTGACAGGTGTGAGGTCCCAGCTCACTGTGGTTGACATTTCACCTCTGATGGTTGGTGACCTTGAGCATCTCCTCACATGTCTACGGGCCATCGGTACGTCCTCTTTGGAGAAATGTGTATTCAGGTCCTCGGCCCTTTTTTGACTAGATAATATGATTCCACGTATATGTGGGATCTAAGAAAATACTAGATAAATGAACAGACCAAACAGAAACAGGCTCACAGATGGGGAGACACCCTGATGATCCCCGGAGGGGGGGGATGGGAAGAACGGGGGAGGGACACAGAGGCGCACATGGCAGTTACCAGGCGGTCACGAGATGTGATGTCCACGCAGGGCGTGTGTCAGGGACCCTGCATTTACTGGGCGTGGTGTCTGAGGGGGGCACACTCATCGGGGGGTCACTCTGTATGACTGTTTAATCACTGTGTTGTACTCCAGAAACGCATGCACCGGTGAAGTCAGCTGTAATGGAAAATAAGTAAACAAACAAATAATACACCATTAGGTAATAAACTGAGAAGAAAGTTGTCTGTCCTGCGGGTGATGCCCCTGGAGCGGGTTCGCGGGACGGCCCGTGCGCTGTCCTGATGGGAGGGGCTGAGGCTGTGCTGGGTGACAGATGGTCTCTGTGGCGGTCAAGGCCCGGGTCGTGCTGTCTGTGGCCTGTGGCCTCTCCCCAGGCTGTGCTTCTGCCTGAGCCCCACCCTGCCCTGCCCTTTGCTGCGTCCTCCCGAGCCCGGTGCTCAGCGGGACAGTCTGCGCCCCGAGAGCCTCTGCCACCCCCCTTTCGGGCTGTGTCGCTCCATGTACATGCTCACCCCTGCTTCCGGTCACGTGGCACGTCCCCTGGCGGCCGCTCCTGGTCGGTCCTGGTTGCCATCAGTTCTGCCGCTTGCACCGCAGGCTCCGGGTCCCCACCAAATGCCTGCTCGAGGTCACACAGGCCTTTGTCCTCTCTGCGAGCGCTGCGGGTCGGCTGAGTCACACAGGTGACATCGCCCAGGCTCAAGAGAATGAAAGAACATTCACGGCCCGCTCTGCAGGGGTGCCCGAGGGGGCCAGGAGCGTCCGCCCGCGCGCCCTCCTTTGCCTGGGCCAGGTCGATTCTCTATGGCACCCCCATCCCGCGGTGCAGAGGGACGTGGTCCCCGCTCCAGGTGTGAGGTCGGGGTGTCCCGGGGTGTTGGGGCGGCCGCAGCTCCAAGGCAGCGTCTCCTGGGGCGGGAGCTCCCTGGCATCGCGGAAGGCACGCGGGCGGCCCCTCCGTCCCGGGCACCACGACTCGGGGTGGTGGGAGAAGGAGGCCCCTCCGTGGGGCGCCCCCGGGGCCACGGACTCTCCCCCAGGAAGTTCTTCCCTGCGGGTCCAGTGCTGCTTCCTCCTGTGCCCGGCGCGGTGCTGCCCCCTGGAGGCACCGCAGGGACGGGCTGCTCTGGGCCTCAGGGGACCTGGAGCCCCCACGGCCCCGCCCCCACCAGCCCGGGCAGGACTCTGGGCCGTCCTCCTCCTCTGCCTCCTCCTGCTCCACCTCGGTCTGGATATGAGAGATGACGAGTAACACACCCCCCTGGCCGGTGGGCTCAAAGGCTAGAGAGTCAGCTATCGGACCAGAGGGTCGTGGGTTCACTCTCGGTCAGAGCACAGACCTAGGATTCGGGGTCCATCCCGCTCGGGGTGTGTGCAGGGGACAACGGATCGATGTTTCCCTCTCACATCGATGTTCCTCTCTCTCTCCCTGCCGCCCTCTCTAGAGTAGAAAAGTTAAAATGTAGCCCTGCCCGGTTGGGCTCAGCGGTTAGAGCGCCGGCCCGCGGACCAGAGAGGCCCGGGTTCGGTTCCCACTAAGGGCACGGACCTCGGTTGCACTTTGTCCCCGGCCCCGGTTGGGACCGTGTAGGTGGCAGCCACTCGAGTGTCCCTTTCACATTAATGTTTCTCTCTCTCCCTCTCTCCCTCGCACTCCTTCTGAAGATAAGTGCAAAAGAATGTCCTCAGGTGAGCATAAAAAAAACAATAAGGAGCCCGGCCGGTGTGGCTCAGTGGTTGAGCGTCGACCCTGCACCAAGAGGTCGCCGGTTTGATTCCCAGTCAGGGCACAGGCCCAGGTTGTGGGCCCGATCCCCAGTGGGGGGCATGCTGGGGGTGGCCAGTTGATGTTCTTTCTCATCGATGTTTCTATCTCTCTCTCTCCCTTCCTCTCTAAAATCAATTAAAAATTTTTAAAAAAACAACAATAATGAAATAAAAATAAAAATATTAAATAACAGCACAGGAACGGTCATTGACGGGAACGTGCAGAGAACACACACAGACTCCGGGGCCACCAGCAGAACAGCAGCCACAGCCGAACACCCGGCCCTCAGAGCCTCCTGTCCCCGGCCCTGCACTGCCCCCCCAGGGCCCCTCCTCCCGACCCAACATGTGGGCTCCGGTCTGACCCAGACCAACCAGATGTCCCCTGGCTGTCATCCTGCCAGACCCGGAGGCCAGCCTCCAGCACGTCACCAGCCCTGCAGGCTCTAGGGCCCCGCTGCCTGTCCGGATGCCCTGTGAGTGGCCCCACCCTTCAGGCCGGACTTTGCCACCCTCCTGCCCAGTGACAGAGGCTCTCGGGGAGCGGACTGTCCCGCTGAGCACCGGGCTCAGGAGGACGCAGCAAAGGGAAGGGCAGGGTGGGGGCTCAGGCAGAAGGACAGCCTGGGGAGAGGCCACAGGCCACAGACAGCACGACCCGGGCCTTGACCGCCACAGAGACCACCTGTCACCCAGCACAGCCTCAGCCCCTCCCATCAGGACAGCGCACGGGCCGTCCCGCGGACCCGCTCCAGGCGCATCACCCGCACAAACAACTACCCCTTTCTTTCTTAGATTATTACTCAGTGTTTTATTATTTGTTTGTTTACTTATTTTCTATTACAGCTGACTGACATCCGTGCGTGCGTTTCAGGAGTACGACACAGTGATTAAGTAATTACTACAGAGTGACCCCGCTAGCCCTCGTGCACCGTGGGGAAGGCAGGCTGGTGCCACTCTGTGGAAACAGTGTGGAGGATCCTCGAAAAATTAAAGATACAGCCACCCTGTGATCCAGCAATTCCCCGTCTGAGCATGTCTGCGAAGACATCCAGACGCTACTTTGGAAAGACATATGCACCTATATGTTCATTGTACGTTATTTACAGTAGCCATGATACAGGACAGCCCAGGTGTCCATCCACAGACAAGGCATAAGGACGAGCTGGAACATACATGCAGTGGAATATTACGCAGCAATGAAAAGGAACAAATCGTACCATTAGCAACAACATGGACGGACCTAGAGGGCATCATACTAAGTGAGATTAGTCCTCAGAGAAAGACAAACACCAGCACCTTCCTTCTGATGCCCGAGTGGCCGCAGAATCCACCTTCGCTGCAGGGCTGGGACCTGTGTCGGGAGGGTCCCAGCTGTGACTCTCGTTACCTCTGAGGTTGGGGACAAGGAGCGACTGGGAAATGTCTATGCCGCCTTCCTCTCCCTGCACAATAGTCACAATTCACTTCGCCAACGCTGACACTAGGGTCCCCCGTGGTGTGCACTTGGGACACGCAGATGAATCAGTCAGTCCAGGATCCCATCACGGGGTCAACACAGGACCCGTCTGTCTGCTCCTCGTGCACCGGACACGGATCTGCTGTTGGGCCCTGTCTCGGGGACCCCAACGTCTCCCCTGCAGCCGTCAACACGGACGTGTCAACTGTGATGAGGGGACAGAATTCCATCCCACGGGTAACGGTGCCACGCCCCTCACAGTGCTTCCTGTGGTTTCAGGACATCGATGCCCTTGAACTCAGAGCCGCCCTCCGGGGAGGCCGTCTTGTTAGCATCACTCTGTGGGTGTGGACTTCGGGGTTAGTGGGATTCTGGGACGGGCTGAGGACCACCCCCCTAACGAGAGTGTCCTGGGGTGTGAATGGGATGCGGGCTCCTGACTTCAGCCCACGTATCACCTCTATACCGAGTGCCACAGGGGGGACCATGCACACCCTCAGCTGCATGTGACACACACATGTGCATATTTGTGCACAATCACATGCATACACACATGCACAGATGCACACACGCACAAGTATGTACATGCATACATGCCCACTTACATGCATTCTTGCACTAACATGCATGGACACACTGCACTTGCCTGCATGCACGTACATATATTGACAAGAGTGCTTGTGCACTTATCTACATGCACAGCACACATCTTCCTGCATGCACACGTGAGAGCACACATGCACACACGCATACCTACAGGCATGCACATGGACAAACATGCACACAATAATACACATGCACACACATCCCACGGAGAGAGACATAACTTTCCTCTTGGACGGGTCACTGGAATCTTCGCTCCCGTATATATGGAGAGTGAGAGCCATTGTTGCTGCAGGAGCAGGAATGTCACCTGAGACACACACAGAGGGGGACAGTGACATCAGGGGCCCGGGCTCCCCGTGATGCTCGGGGGAAGGAAACTGCTACGCTCAGTGTTAGGAGGCAGAGTAGAGACAGACACTGGGCTCTCGGGTGTCAGGGCAGAGGCCTTCCTGCCCGGTGCCCACCTGGCCCTGCAGCCGAGGGCTGGGGACGCTGGAGAAACACAGCGAGGGGGAGGGACCTCGTCGGAACATACGAGGGGCAGGACGTGAGCTCGCAGGGGCCCGCATGTGACCTCAGGGCACAGTGTGGACACCACACACATGTTCACTTCTCCTAACGCACTCAGGCCCTCGATGGGCAGTTACGACGGTCGTTACACAGTGGAATACTATGCAGCAGGGAAAAAGGCTCTCCCACCCTTTGCGACAGCACGGAGGGACCTGGGCCGTGTTAAGTCAGCAAAAGAAGCCGGTCAGAGAGAGACAAGTATCACATGGTCTCACGTACACGTGGAACCTCACAAACATGATAAACTGATGAATGAAACAGAACGAGAGTCATGGGAACATGGGCCAGACTGACGATCTCAGAGGGAAGTGGGGTGGGGGAGACTGACCACAGGACGTGTGCGCACAGGCCTGGCCCGTGGACACAGACTACAGGGTGGTGGAGGCAGGAACCTGCTGGCGGGGACTATGGGGGGATGGGAGGGGGGTACTCTTATACTCTCAACAATAAGGACTGCAAAAAGAAATATAGATTCTGATGGGAGGCCCTTTTGCGGGGTCAGATCCGGGGTCCAGCCCAGCTGCCCCTCCCCGTGCCCAGGTGGATAGCAGGGTTGACAGAGGACGGGGGCCTCACCTGCTCAGCTATGTGTCCTCCGTCAGCGCGCTCTGGAGCACGTCCCGGAGAGCTTTTCGGCCCGGCAGCTGGCCCTGCCTCCCCACAAAGAAGTAGATGACGGGGTTAACGGTGCTGTTCAGGACGGACGGGATGTAGAAGATGTATATGAACCGGTAAAATTCTAACGGTTCCGGTTGCAGGATTGTGACCAGAAAGCCTAGGTTGAGGGGCAGCCCGAGCGCCAGGAAGGCCAGCACGGCCAGCAGGATGACCCGGTAGAGCTTGGTGGAGTGTCTCCGGGAGGAGCCGTAGCGGATGCGGAGGAGCAGGGTCAGGCTGGACACACAGACCTCCAGCAGCGTGATGAAGAACAGCACGATGTAGACCAGGAACCTGTGCTTACATGGCAATTCCATAGAAAAGTCACAGAAAAGCCACAATGTCCCCAGACAGAGGGACAGTCCCCAAAGCACCGCGCACACGATGGCCGACAGGTGGGCGGGGCGGTGGCTTCGGTACCAGATCGGGAAGAGCGCGGAGATGCAGCGCTCCGTGCTGATGGCCATGAGCAGGAACATCCCCGCCAGGTAGGACGTGGACAGCACAGGCAGGATGAACATCTTCAGATGCTCAGTGACAGTGATGGCAACGAACAGGGTGGCTGCCATGCATAAGAGGTAGGTGAAGTCCGCGATGGCCAGGTTGAGGACGTAGACCGAGAAGGGGTTCCTCTTCACCCGGAAACCCAGCAGCCAGATGACCGTCCCGTTCCCCACCAACCCAAAGAGGTCGATCAACAGAACCACAGCCTTAACAATGATCATGTAATTGAAAGAGGACTTGTCATCACCTAATGGGGTCTGTGTGATGTTCCCAGTGGCATTCGCCTCTGCTGGGGACACAGACCCATTACTTAGGTCTGACTGCCAGGGCCCTGGGCTGGGAGAGAAGCCCCTGGCGTCACTGCTGGGCTCCTGAGCCATCTGCCAGGTGCTGCCACGGGGGCACCCCTGGGAAGATGGCGATGGGCACGGGGCCGGGACCTCTGATCGGGGTGGTCTGTCACTCCGCAGACCCCCGCTGAGACCCCCAGGATGCGAGCACAGGGCCTCCGGAGCTGGCGGGACGGCTGGGCTCAGACACGCGGGGCGATGGACTGCAGGGCCGTTTCCTGGGGAGACAGGGGGACACGCGTGTGCGCAGGCGCCTTCTCCAGAGCCACCCCACGGCTCCCCAGGCTCCTGGCTCCGGGCGCTCCGATCCCTCCTGTCCGTGTGTCCGGTGGCCACTCCCAAAGGGACTGTCAGCCAGGTGCCGCCCTTGGGGGTTGTTCCTCATTCAGAGCTCACGTCCCTCTAGAGGAACCTGGGGGCAGAGGTGATGGGTAACATGGAATATTTGTTCCCTCAACTCAGCAGAGTTCGTTCCCAACATCACCCTCTAATCCCTGTGCTCTGTCCTCATCTGTTCACCCCTCGCCCCCTCCCGTCTCTCTCCCTCTCTCCCCGCGGTGGGAGGAAGACACATGGAAGCATCTCCCGTAGGCGAGGTGGGCGAACCTGGCCTGACTCTTCCCTGGGAGCCGTCTCCCCAGGTCCCTGCTCCCGAAGTCACCCCGCAGCATCGCTTAGCCTTTGGGGGCCAGGAAACACTGCCTCACCCAGTGCTCTGTGGACCCACATGTGTGGATGCTGCTCCCGTGTCCTGTCTGTGCGCAAAGAGACAGCTGTTTCCCGAGCGCGTCTCTTCCTTGCGGCCCCAGCAGGGCACAGCCCCTCCCGTAGGGCCTGTGTGATGGGCTCCGTCCACGTCCTCCCGTCCCCGGGGGCTGGGCTCCACCACCATGGTGACCCCGTGGACCCACAGGAGCTCCAGGCTCAGCAGTGACCCTGCGAGGGCACCGCGGGGCCCTCCAGTCACGCCGCCCCCTCTGTTTCTCTGCCAGGGGCCCTTGGCTTTAGGAAATGCCAGGACGACGCATGTGGTTAGACCAGGGCCCTCCACGGCTGCAAACACGTAGCAGGTGCAGGGGAGGGAGCTGACCACTCACCACCCTCCACCGCTGCTGCCCCGAGTGGGCGGGGTGCCGTCCCCTCCCCTCCGCAGAGCTGCAGGGATCGGCTCTGTCCGTGTCCCGGGCCACCGTCTCCACACAGTCTCCCGGCTTATCGCGGACAGTCATGCACCTGGAAGGGGACACGGAGCACGTGTGAGCCCAGGCCTGTGCCGTCCCTGCAGGGCCGTGGACGGGGGGCTCTTCTGATGCAATCAGTTCATTCCATCGTCCACGGAGACTCTGGCCGCAGGGAGTGTGGTGAGTGAGGTCGGTGGGGACAGAAGGTGGCATGAGTCAGTCATGGGGAGCAAACATACGTAGTAGCTATGGAACAGTGTCCCACTATTGTCTTGTTTATTGTATGTCCTATGCATGATTCCCTGCGGAACAAATGACCGTCGCGCCCCAGGTCTAACACAGCAGAGGAAGGGAAATGGACACACACGTCCTCCTGCGTCGGGAGGTCTGGATCTTCTACTAAGGTCTCTGCCTGGATGAGCCCCACTGACTGTCCGGTCAGGGAGGGTGGTCTGCGATCTGCTTCCCTCAAAGCCACGGATGTGAACGCCACCCTCCTCTGGAACGTCCCTCCAGGGACAGGACCCCGCGCACGGCTGCGGGAGCGAAGGTGGTGCGGCCACGACAGAGAGGAGTGTGCAGGTCACTCAGGACACTGCCCGGGACCCCAGAGCCTCAGCGACCCCACTGCTGGGGGTCCCCCAAGGAAACAGGATCCCACCGTGAGGAAATATCTGCACCTCGAAATTCCCAGCAGCTCAGATATGGGGACAGCCTCAGTGTCCATCAACAGGTAAACGAAGATCATTGTCAGTATGTGTGTGTGCTTGTGTTTATGTGTATGTATGTGCGCATGTGTGTGTGTATGTGCACACTTGTGTATGTTTGTATGTCTCTATGTGTGTCTGTGTGTATGTATGTGCGTGTGCATGCATATATGTGTGTGCCTGTGTATGTGCGTGTGTGCCTGTATGTGTGTTTGCATGTGTATATGTGTGTATGCGTCATATGAATGTACGTGTGTGTATGTGTGCATGCCTATGTGTGTGTATGTGTACTTGTGTTCGGGGGTGCATATGTGTACATGTTTGTATGTGTGTGTGTGCGTTTTTATGGGTGTGCGTGTGTGTATGTGTGCATGTGTGGGTATGCTTATGTGTGTAGGTGTGCGTGAGTGTATGTGTTTATGTGTGTGTCCCTGTTTGTGCATGTGTATTGTGTATGTGTGTGTATTTGTGCGTGTATATGTGTGTGTGCCTATGTATTTGCATGCGGGTGTGTGCATGTGTGTCTTTGTGTGCGTGTGCATGTGTGCATGTGTGTGTTTGCGTGTGTATATGTGTGTGCGTTTATATGAGGGTGTCCATGTGTGTGCGTGCCTATGCGTGTGAATGTGTGTACATGTATATGTGTGTATGTGTGTATGCATTTATATGAGTGTGCATGTGTGTTCATGCCTATGCTTGTGTTTATGTGTTTGTGTGTTCATGTGGATGCATGTGTATGTGTGTGTGCATGTGTATGTGTATGTGTGTACGTGTGTGTATTTGTGTGTGTGAGTGCATGTGCCTGTGTATGTGCGTGTGTGTGCATGTGTGTATGTGTGTGTTTGCATGTGTATGTGTGTGTATAGTGTGTGTGCATGCATATACCCACATGTGTGTGTATGTGTGTCAGTGTGTGTATGTGTCATGTGCCTGTGTATGTTTATGTTTGCGTGTGTATGTGTATATGCATGTATGTGTTTGTGTGCATATGTGTCTGCATGTGTGTGTGAATGCATTTATATGAGTGTGTTTATGTCTATGTGTGCATCTTGTGTGTGCGTGTATGTGTGTGTGCATATGTGTGAGCATGTGTATGTGTGTATGTGTGTGCCTGTGTGTGCGTATTTATGTGTGTGTACGTGTGTGTATGTTTCTATGAGTGTGTGTATGTGTATGTGTGTGCATGTGTGTTCATGTGTGTGCTGTGTATGTGTACTTGTGAGTGTGCATGTGTGTATGTGTGTGTTTGTATGTGTGTGTGTGTATGTGTATGCATGCATTTATATGAGTGTGTGTGTGAGTGTTTATGTATATGTGTGTGTTTGTGTGTGTGTGTGCGCGCATGTTTGTTTGATGGAATGTGATTTGGACAAAAGAAAGCAAGTCTTCTCATTTGTGACATCAGGGTGAAGGAGAGGATGTCGTGTTCAGTGGGACCAGACACGAGGACACACGCAGGATCTCCGTGGACGTGAGACCTGAGAGAGCTGAACTCCTGGAAGCACGGGGTGGAGCCGAGGTCCCGGGGCCGAGGGACGTGGACGCGCAGGTCACAGGGCACAGACTCTGGTGGGAGAGGGGTCGTGATGGGGTGTCTGTCCAGCAGGACTAGACTGAGACATGCGTCACCTTCTGAAGAGGCCGAGGGCTGGGGCTCCACGGAGCTCACCCCGAGGAAAGGAGGAAGGAGGAGCCTGTGCGAGGTGACGGCTGCACTGAGCTTGATGATGTGACGATGCCGCAGTGTCCACGTGACAGATTCACGGCACACGCCGTCAGGACGCACACGCTATAGTGACAATTGTAACCCCATCAAGCTGGAGGACAGGAGATGTTGGACACCCCCTTCACAGAGACCTGGCTGCTTCGCCTCAGCGGATACTGCATCGGCCCAAACACCGAAGGGCAATGGGTTCAATTCCCAGTAAAGACTCGCACCCGGGCTCCAGGTTCCCACCCTCACCATGGCCGTGCTCGTGCAGGAGGCCACCAAACAATGTGTCTTTCTGACCCACGTTTCTCACTCAGCCTCCCCCCTTACACTCTCCCCAAATATCAGAGAAAGGACTACCCTCAGGTAAGGATTAACAAAAAATACAATAAACAAGAAACCCCCTTCGCAGAGCCCTCCCCCACCAGCGGGTAACTCAGCTGCCGCAGTCACCCCACCCGTGTCTCCGAGAGAGTCCTCCCGGGCCGTCTGTCCGTCCTGCTGCGGGTCTGAGGTCAGGGATGAGGCAGACGGGGGACTCACTGAGGGGTGAGGCCCTTTGCACACACCAGACCCACGAGCCCAGGGGGGCTGGCTGCGCCCCGCCCGGAGAGTCCGGCTCTGAGAAGGCAGCGTCTCCTGGGAGGGTCCAAGCTAGGACGCGCCCACCGCGCTCCAGACCCCTTTCTCGGGGTGACGTCCCCTCGGGGTGACGCGGTCTGATCAGGTGCAGGTCTAGAGTGGACTTGGAGCCCGGCCACCGCCAGGCCTGAGCTCGGGACCAGCAGTCCCAGCTGGCTCTTCCTCCCCCCGACATGAATGTGCCGGGTGTAAGGTGTGACCCCAGAGATGGCGTCATTCCCTCTGTCCCCAGAATTGTGCTTTTTCTTGGGGTGCAGCAGCCTCCCGGAAGCCACACGCTCCCGCAGCCTCCCCAGGCCCACTGGGAAGTCAGCCTGGCTCCTCTCAGGAGGTTTGACACCAGATGACAGAGAAAGTGCTAGGAGGTTGGGCTCCCCGATCAGACCCTGGCCCCTCAGAGGGTCTCGGGGTCCCTGCCTCCGTCTCCTGCCCCCCTGCCACATCTCCATGGCGACCATCAACCCAGCCAGCCTGACCCTGGGCGCCCAGAGGCCAGAGCAGTGGGAATCCCCTCTCAGGCAGAGCCTGGCCCGTGGGGGAGCGAGGTGCTCAGAGCCTCCCAGAAGGAGCAGCGGGGCCAGTCAGGGGAAGGGAAAACAGGCATCTCTCCTCACCTGTGTCCCGGAGAGCTGGGCCCCCTCAGGTCTGGGGGCCGCGGGAGGTCCTGGGGAGCAGCGCAGGCCTGAGGTGCCGCCCCGTGTGGGTCCAGGGGTCCTGCGAAGTGTGGACTGAGGCGGCCTGCAGACCAGGGTCAGGTCTGTGATCCCAGTGACACCCTCCCCCCTCCCA